TCATTGTCATTGTCCGGAGCCTTGGTGCGCGTGCACGAAGGGTCATTGTCATTGTCCGGAGCCTTGGTGCGCGTGCACGAAGGGTCATTGTCATTGTCCGGAGCCTTGGTGCGCGTGCACGAAGGGTCATTGTCATTGTCCGGAGCCTTGGTGCGTGCACGAAGGGTCATTGTCATTGTCCGGAGCCTTGGTGCGTGCACGAAGGGTCATTGTCATTGCCCGGAGCCTTGGTGCGTGCACGAAGGGTCATTGTCATTGTCCGGAGGCGGGGAAGGCGAGAGCGCGTGGTTCGTTGCCGGAGTGATTGTTTTCGTGTTCGCTCAATGCAGACAGACGATGTCTACTCGACGTGTCAAATAATAACAAGTGTAAAAAAATAATAACTCATAAATCTATTGTTCTACATGGTCGTGTCTACCAGACTGCACTACTCTGGTGCAATTTGCATCGGGTTAGATCCTTTTTTAGGTTTAAAACCTTCGCGAAGAGTAATTGAGGTTGATAAGAATGAAACTGTGCTAATGTAAACAACGTCAGTCTCTGTCGACATGATTAATTATCGTAGATGAATGGGGCTGCAGATTTGGATGTAAAATCAGAGCCACTTGCTGACGAGTGTAAAAAGTGAAGCTTATTGATGTTGTGTTCACATTCACCTGCAGTCTCAAATAACCCGCGAAATTAAAGCTCATGATTTTTCTACCATGTAGTAGTGTAACCAGACTTGTTTTTCTTCACGTCGATAAATCACGAATATGTGACCATTTATATTTACACGTACTTCAAACATGTGATATGAAATAAATATCTGATTTAGCATCAACTTCGATTTACTTTGTTTCCTAAAACAAATTAGTAGCATGTAGATGGATGTTTTAAGTAAACTGCACATATGTAAGCGTGAATATATATACATAATATCAAGAGTGCATAATAGAGATGCATAATCTCTATTATGCACTCTTGATAATATATATATATATATATTATATATATATATATATAATTATATTCCTTTACAAGCTTAAGTTGTTTTGTTTACCACACTAATGATGATTCGGAAATTAAAGCATAAAAAACAATATGTGTGTAACAGGGTACAGCTATAACATGCCAACACTGATACCTCAGCCAAGCGATTCATGAAGAACTGTTTAGTCTTCATCCTTCTATGTATCAATTCTAGAAGCATAGACATACTACATATTCATTCCACTCACATCTGTACAGATTAATATAGTTCCATGTTAATGTGATTCCCATGCTTGATGAACCACTAATTAGAGGTATAGATTCGCATTGAAATAATGTACAACAAGAAGACACTATCATTATCTATACGTGTGCGTGAGGCAGTCACAAAAGGCATTCATTTTTTATATAGCATATATAAATATGTGCTTCTTAAACTGGTGAATGGTTCACCCGAGGGTAAATGAAATTATTTTGGGGTGTATGAAACTAGAATGAAGGGTGAATGAAGGGTGAATGGGTTTCCTGTAGACTTACGTAGCCTGACGTGATCGCCAGGGTCACAGCGGCCCGTTGTCAGAAACGAAATCAATGACTAGGATGTTCCTGTACTCCTGTGTCTAGCTTCTCAATCCGAGGTTCAATTTCCTGACATAAAGCAACCCGCATTACCGAATCAACATACTTCATTATCCCTTCATTCACCCTTCATTCTCCCTTCATTCACCCTTCATTCACCTTTAGTCACCCTTCATTCACCCTTCATTCTCCCTTCATTCACCCTTTATTCACCCTTCATTCACCCTTCATTCTCCCTTCATTCGCCCTTCATTCACCTTTATTCACTCTTCATTCTCTCTTCATTCACCTTTCATTCACCTTCATTCACCCTTCATTCACCCTTTATTCACCCTTCATTCACCCTTCATTCTCCCTTCATTCACCCTTCATTCACCCTTCATTCACCCTTCATTTATCCTTCATTCTCCTTTCATTCACCTTTCATTCACCATTCGGACGGTCTCCACAGCAAGAGACTGAACCCTAGAAGCAAGAGACTGGACCCTAGAAGCAAGAGACTGAACCCTAGACGCAAGAGACTGAACCCTAGAAACAAGAGACTGAACCTTAGAAGCAAGAGACTGAACGCTAGAAGCAAGAGACTGAACCCTAGAAGCAAGAAACTGAACCCTGGAAGCAAGAGACTGAACCCTAGACGCAAGAGACTAAACCCTAGAAGCAAGAGACTGAACCCTAGAAGCAAGAGACTGAACCCTAGAAGCAAGAGACTGAACCCTAGAAGCAAGAGACTGAACCCTAGAAGCAAGAGACTG